ATAACTAGCTAGACTATTCATACTAGCATCGCTTATGCGCTCAAGCTAATTATGTGTATACACCGCGGGTTTGACCTTTGCAGTCAGAGGTTGGGTCACAGCAAGTCACCACATTGCTTCGGTTTAAAAAATTAGAGCACGAGAAAGTTAGCATCGATATAACCAAACCAAGGCCGGACTGGTATTACGCTATGATGCCTTCAGGTGTGTACTGTGTGTTTGAATTTGCACACGCACCTATGATCATTTTCTGGGAGCATCCGCCTGACGACTTTTTTTGGGCTCGTGAACTTTTGCAGTAATAAGTACGCGTGGCCTGAACAGTCGAAGACATATTCCATTACAACAACTAGATACGTGTTCTGTGCAAGTCTGAGGCTGAGTGTACATTGCTGAAAAGTGCAAGTATGCTGTATCCCCAGGTGCTTTTTGTTTTTTTACCATCAGCTGGCTATTTGAATAATATGCCAATGTAGGCTTTTTTATACTGTTATAGGTGCAAGAGTGATGAGGCTTGTACTGAATTATACGGGGAAAATGGGCTTAGAATTCCAGTCTGTGAGTCTTTTATTTAGGTCGGGTGTATCCCAATAGTTTGCTAGGCCGGAACGGAGATAAGGATCTTACGTTTTTATGTATAGGTGTTTCAATTATGCCTCCCAATAATGCTAGATATAGATTCCTTACTCGCTGGCTCCATAGGAACATACATGCGCGCAAGCTAATGTCAGTTGTACGAAGGGTTTACGCATCTAGCATCACAGATCATACTTTCAAATACACTCGAGCGATACGGGCACCATCATTAGCACGCATGCACTTGTACATTGTTGCGACTACTACCGCAAAGGGTTTTGGTACACGTATGTCAGCGTATTAGGTATTCGAATGTAAACCCACACTTCCATCGCAGGGCAATATACTGCAGCATCATGCAAGGACGTTAGGCTTCATACTCTGTACAGCATCTGACTCTCACTTCTACTTGGTGGGTGCATTTCTTAGGCTTAGCTCCCTGCCTTTCAACTAAGGAGGGATCGACCCTGTACGATCCCGTGGTAATATTGGAGTTCCTTGAAGAACGGTAAGTGAGACACTCAGCGCTTACACACATGCAAACGTATATGTTTGTTTGATTTTTCGCCAGTTCCTGAATTGTATCGCCCACATGCGTATCAGTAGACTGAGTACTGGCGGCGAGCCTGGGGTTTCCCTTGTTTGAATCCGTGTCCTGTATCGTGTTACCCAAATGTGCCTGTGGATACTGACAGTTGCACACATGCAAATAGTATGTTCGTGTTTGTTTGCTAGTTTATGTGTACTTATTACTCTGATGCCTATAGGCAGACTACGTATCTGATTGTATTGGCGCGAGTATAACTAGATATGTAAGTGGGGACCAAGTGCCATGTTGCAGCAAAGTGTAGGTGCTTACTTAAAATTATTGGAGCTTTTTTATATCGGGTTATAGTCGCGTTTAAATAGTCAGGCACGTTTGCACGCTGGCGGATGTAAATACGGGGCTATGTACATGCAGCAATACTACCAGCGACAGAAATCGTCAGCGCTCCCACAACCACTTAGTGAAGCGCGTGTGAATGTGAGTGTTGGTGACTTAGAGCTTATCCTCCCGGAGAGAAGAGTGTGTCTGTTTTAAAGTAGCCTTCTCGGTTCGATATTGGATAGCCATCCGTCTCGATCTTTTATCGTGTGTCTGTATAGACTACAATACGGAAGTCAAGGTATTCGTTCATATGACAGTTCCACCTTCAAATAGGTACCAGTTTGCTTATTAGATATAGGTGTACGATTGATACGCGGCGTTTTCAGTGCGCTGCCGCATATCCTGTCAGGTACATGGCCCCACGGAAGTCAGCTTGGCGCAGTGAGACGTATCAAACGGCGATACTTGAGAGCACATAACAATCGCACTATAATGCAAGCCGGCGTACTCCATGCAGAAGCTATATGTGTGAAAGCTCCGGTACATAGGTATCCGATTATTGGATGCCCTTCAGCATGACTCAGTACGTCATTATACATGTAACACAGGAAGGGCTGATAGGCTTTCGCTCATTCAAAATGTATTTATGTTTTCTGTATCAGTTGGCTAATCTCAAGCCCACGCACGTGAAGAGCCCCATGTAACCGTCCGCCCAAAATATCAAGCGTTTTCGGAAAACTATACAAGCACATGGGGAGACTATCATTTTCGCACACATGTTCGACAGCGTAGTTATGTATGGACAGATAGCCCTTCCGTACTGTTTATTTATTCCGATGTCGTATACAATAGGTACTTAGCCTATAAGTACCCCTCGACAGTCACTGAACGCCAAGTCATCTCATTACAATGTTACATACAACAGATATCCAACCCCCAAACACCCCTCGGCAGTCACTCAACGCCAACACATCTCATTACAGTGTTACATACAACAGATATCCAGCCCCCTAAGACCCCTCGGCAGTCACTGAACGCCAACACATCTCATTACAATGTTACATACAACAGATATCCAACCCCCAAACACCCCTCGACAGTCACTGAACGCCAAGTCATCTCTTCACAATGTTACATACAACAGATATCCAACCACCAAACACCCCTCGGCGGTCACTGAACGCCAAGTCATCTCATTACAATGTTACATACAACAGATATCCAACCCCCAAACATCCCTCGACAGTCACTGAACGCCAAGTCATCTCATTACAATGTTACATACAACAGGTATCCAGGCCCCAAATACCCCTCGGCTTGGCCCAGTGATCCATTAAGGAAGGCGAATGCAAGGAGGCTTATACGTATAGCTGACGAATTCTATGCTGCATTAAATGCCATAGTATTAAACCAGGTATTTTGCAATGTGTTTGTGTGCTATGTTTGTACTGTTTATATAGAAGGTGACGTATAGGTCACACCTAGTATCATACAATGTCTCCATGGCTGTTATCAGTTTCTATCGGCGACCTATGTTCGGCTAGCTGTTTGCTGCAGATTGGTATTACAGCCCTCAAGAGTACTATTATCCATCCCACTTCAGTCCCGTTACGTTCACAATGAGACATAAGTGATATCATCATCGCCTACTTCCGCTTACGAAGGAGTTGCTTGCATCAATTCCTTTTTGGATGAGAGTGAGAAGATCCTCCTTTTCGCATGGACCAAGATCACAACTATCCACCATCTTTCAAACCGCACACAGATCGAGTCCGACCGCGAGAGCTTGCTACAAGCATATCTCTCCATATGGCGCCGTATCGATGATTTTTTGATCAGACATAACCCTAAAGGCACTTTCTTGTTCGATGACGTGGGCTCAGGGGGCTTTGGATTACCCGAAATAGTGTTTACGCCTATGTTCGAGGTATGCTTTGCGTCAGTACACGAACGTATGGGGTGCGTGGGTATCCGCAGATGTGTCTTTAGAGCAGTGAGCGAGTGTCTATATTGGATGGATATTTTATGAGTATAACTACGAGGGTACCTTTTTGCACGGTGATGTGGGTATGGGGTGTGCAAGTACATAAAAAAAATAATTCGATTTTTTTTCGAGGTAACTGTTGTTTGGGTATGCGCACGTACGCGGTCGGAAAATATGCATTTACGTGTAAAATGACCGTTCTTTATGTACAACAATTGCGTTTTATGGTCTGTGGTGTCTAGGAAAGCATTGCATGGATATGCTAAGTACATCTGATTTGGGAACATCTTTCAAGGTATACGTACATGTTTACGTATTTGCCTCTGGTGAATATATATTCGTTATGCTGTATCTCTTCAACCCAACAATTTTAACGTATTTTTGTCATTCACCATTTCCCGAGTTTTAAAGCACTCACAACCGTGATGTAAGGTTGAAGGGTGACAATTTTTACCTCCTCGAAAACTGTACTGTGCGCTCGTTTGCACAGGGCCAAAGTGACCTATCCGTGAGAGAATTTGTAGAAGCATGCTTGAGACTACTATCAATATGAATGGGTATCTGCCTTCCCAAACCAGTCGTATTCAAACGCGTTAATTTCCCAATCTCGATTAATCTCAGACCAATTGGTTAGTCGAGTACTATGAAGATTTTCAAGTCCCTGACACACTCGAGTACGCGCGAGTGATGAAGTGGCGAGATGCTTGCCTGAATCACAACATGTCTTCAGTAGTGTGCAAAGAAGAAATTAGTAAATTGTGGTACGATGCCGCTAAAGGCGTGCCCATGGGAGAGGTAGGTCTGTAGGGATGTATGTATGCATATGCATACACACATAGTATCAATATTTATATATATATATATATACATATATAAGTATGTATGTATATATGTATATGTTTGCATATATGTATATATATGTATATGTATAAATATGTATGTATGTGTTTATGTATGTATTATTTGAATGGTAATTGAGGCATTTATTCTCTACGAAATTGGTCGGGTTCGCTGCAATGTATACTATTCTTGTGAAAGGCAATCGTTAACTTGGCTTGCGAAACAAAGTTGTCTGAATGTAATTATCAATGTATGCTTTCATCGAAGTTGACTTTCTATGCATGAGTTTATGATCATGTATCTGCAGAAGAGGCTTTATACATACACATTCGACGCAATTTCCTCTGTGGACACCATCAGCACGTGCTACTATCCTTAATATTTCCTGTTTTGATTGTATTCCATGCGATTTCAGCCCAACCCGGATACCACACGGCAGTACTCGAGTTATGCCATGGAGCCACACTGGACTTCGCGACCAATGCCGAACAAAGACAAGTATAATTATAGGTACGTCTGATCTTAATCTTAATGTATGTGATGTATGTGTTATATGCTTCGAAGACCACCATAAATTTCTTCATGTCTGCGTGAAAGACTTTTCGTGACCGTATGTATCACATATTAAACAAAACAACATCGACCCATCAGAGGGCTTGTTAAACGAATAGGTTCCTGAATTTCCATGTGTATACTAAGACTTAGAGATCCTTTATTTTGCCACTCAGCGAAAAGTGACGGGTATGCATAATACACTACTATCTATTGTTATACTGACTGAGCCGCATATATGCTAAAGGAAGACATGAAATATACAGGGAAACATATTCATGGTTTGCCGCGTCAGTGCAGTTTGAAGGGCTCATCTATATTTCGATCATGGCCTATAGTAGGAAGTAGGTATGAATAGTATCATATAACAACCATATTTCCCCCTATTCGCTCGCAGTGTTCACTCTTATGTTGTTAACTAGCAAGCTTGTTATTAATATCGCAGTTGTACGGATGACGAATTAGGACTCATACCAAAAGTCTCATCGGCGAGGCATTCACCGATGCCCTCGCCCAATGTCCCTAGAGGTGGGGTATCCCCAATACCTATCAACCAGCTGAATCTTCAATAAAATATAGTCTTGTACTGCATCTGTGATACTATTTATATACCGCAAGTTCTCGAAGTTCTCGATTCGTGAGAAAGAACAGCAGTAAGATCTCATCGGAATGTGAGAGGGGCGACTTTCTTTCAAAAGATCATCTTGTTAATAGGGAGTCAGGCCGAAATATTAACAAACGACCACACACATCGCTCATAATTCTGCAATGGGAGATGCATTTGAGTTACAGACCTATTGAGATACAGGGAAATCTGAAGTAAAATAATTTTGTTTATATACGATCGGAACAGTTTTAGTATAGATATTAAGAGCACAGATGATAGAACTGAGACATCATTTAATTGTCAAAAACAGTTGCATTTTAATAGGATCAGCTTCCCCTTTTGTTTTGAGCAAACCACCATTATATGCCACTCCACAATCCCCTCGAAATGTACCCATTTATACGAAGCTATTTGCATATAGGCCACACGCGGCGCAGCTTGATCAGCCGAACACAGTACTGAGTGCGGTCAAACTTCAGCGATCTTTACTACATATTTGTATTTATTTATTTTATTTTTTCAAAAGAGGAATAATATTTACTTTCGGTTATCCTCACAGGCTCACCATAAAAACAAATACTTTTTTAATTTTTAAATAGTCTGCTCTGGAGTCTGGGGCCTCTGGGCCTCTGGGGAGTCTCCGAGAGTCTGTCTCTGAGACTCTGTGACTCTGAGTCGTTCTGAGAGACTGATTTATTTTTTTCTGTCAATCAGAATTCAGAGAATCTTCAATCTTGAGACTTGACGCCTCTGGGGCCTGACTTCTGAAGTCCTGACTGCTATTATTATTATTTTATTATTATTTGTTTTGAAAAAACCAGTTTTCATACAAAACTCAACATCCATCCCTCAGGCTCTCTCGCTCTCTCGCTCACTCTCTCTAGGCATAAAGTTCGAACTCGGGAACTGATTTCAAAAGGTGATACTTAGATCTCCCGGAAATCAGTCCTATTTAGTATTTGACTACATATTTGTACATACATAAATACAAACTGTACTAACATTTGGACAGGAACTAAATACACGCGAGCGCATTATATTCATATTCTTTAGCCAAACGTTCCCATTGATTGCCTAAAAAGAATGTAAGCTGCTGAAAATCTTGAAATAATTATTTAGATCGTTCTACCTATCTCTATGTTTAGTATATTTATTCTGTGAACGGGTCGCTCTCATCAAAAGAAACGACCCCCTGGAAATTCCTCAGGTTTTCACACAACGTCCAGTCTCCTATCTCTGATGCACTCCACGCAAGAGGGAGCTGAGATTCAGAATAAAAAAATTGGCTTCAGACTACCGGATGGTCAGGTCATGCAAAAGAATTTTGAAACATTAATCCAGGAGAACTTTTAACTTGTTTCTGTTTCTCATGTCACCACTACCCTCCTGCCCCCAATTTTCAGCGAAATCGAATAAGCTCGACAAATATGATTAGTTGTATCATTTTATCCTTGTGTCAAAATAAGGCATTGTTTTCAGATATTTTGGATCCGATGAAGAAAAACTTGATATAAGATAGCATACCGATAGTTCACTTCAAACAATAAAGTGAACAACTTCGTCACAGTGCTCTCCATAATCACTGTCCAGCTCTTCTGACAGCATCGAAGGTGGTTTTTGGACTTCATTCAATAGTCCCGCAATGTACACGGACATAAACAACCTATAGAGCCCTAATATTCTGCTAGCAACTATCTTAGTGTACGTTCATACATAACTACTCTCAGCGAAGTGCCAGTATGTCCGTATGTGCGAATGTCTCTCCAAAGGAGTTATCATATCCACCGAGTTCAGAAAACGGCACCAAAATATACACGAACAGAATTCCACACTGAGGACGTTGGCGAATCATCCCATTCTTTCACCACATCCTTTATAAGGCATTGCATCAACAAAGGATTCGGATGAATCGTGTCGGATTGAAATTCCAACGGCAGCATTCACTGATCAGGCGGCTACAAATGCGTATGGACTCACCCAGAAAATATAGGACCAACTAAAGTGGTGGGAGGATATAGAAGAATATTTCATTATAGCCCTCTTCGCCTTCACACTCGTATGCGATACAGTGGCACTAACTGTCCTCAAGATTAAACATTTTGACACGAGTGAGTATGGCTGGTGCTTGGGATATTCCATAGTATCAAATACAATGTCGGTCATCGTGCTTACAGGTGACAAAACATATGAAAAGCACGATAGAACCCAGAAATACGCGAAACAGCTGCTGTATGCTCGGCGACTGTTCGTCCTCGCCACTTTCTTTCATATTGGCTGCGGGTTATACTTAGCTATCAGTTACATAGAGCAGAATTACATAGCAAAGATTTAAGCTTTCCGCATCACGGAGCCAACAAGCAATTACATATCGAAGCTATTTAAACTTTCAAAATTGTTGGTGTGCCAGTAGGGAGTGACAAAGTATTTCAGAAAGGATAGTAATGTGTATGCATGATCATCGATACACTTCATAATTGCTTCTCGCAATTTACATTGCTAAGTGATATGTATAGTATACTCTACAACGTCTGATTGAGATGTATACATGTCTTTATCTCTCCATCGCCTTCAGTAATGGTACATAGTATTAATTTGAAAATACGGGAGCGTCTTGGTTCTGGACAACATGGAATGTGGTCAGTGGTCACCTTGTGAATTGTGTACATTTTTTTTCAAAATAATCAGTCACATACAATTTCTTGGGATCATATTCAAGGAGCAACTGTGCTTTTTGGCGGGTTATTTATACAACATAAATATGTATTTATGACAAAGTGTTACAAAAGCCTAAAAGTTTATTCTCACTTGAGAGGCTGAGAGGCACCACAGTAGACACACTCCGATTGAAATAAATATAGATTATATGTATGGTCGATTTCATCAGTTCTTATATTGCGACGTAGCTGTAGATTATCGGGACCCTCGATTGATGCATGAGAAGTGCGGCCTAAAACACAAGCGAAGTAATCGTTTGACATTAGCGTTCCGAGAGCACATGGACCTTGCTCTGCGCATGATCATCCAACGTTGTAAGTAGGTCTACACAGCCAATTTTGCTGAATGCGCCGGCCCCAAGTACACGAGCCCTTGAAAATTATAAATAGGTTGTCTCTAGAGCGAATCAAGGAGAATCATTTCACAACTAACATACTATT